GCCCAGCCCTTGCTGCAGTCAGCTCTTGCTAGCCACTCCCTCCTCCTGTGCCCTCAGGCCTTGGGATGCCACGGCTTCTTCGATTTTGGGGTCCTCCTTATACTTGCTGATTTACCCTAACCCTGCCCACACTTTCGTAAGTAGCTCCTTCTTTATTCTCTTTAGTCACTCCCTTGAGTGTCCTCTGCTTTTTGTCCACTTTTCACTCAGCTCAAGTCACATGCTCTTCTGCTCTTCCTCTGGCATGCTGGCACGTCCGGCCTCAGGGTCTTTGCACTGACTTTTCACTTTCCCTGGCGTGCTCTTCTGGATGCCACTGATCCTTCCGTCACGCCCCTTCAGCCTTTCTCACTTGTCATTTTCTCAATGACAGTTTCTCTCTCTGACCTCTTGAAAACTGCAGCCCCTCTGCTCTGCAGGCCCATTCTATTTTTAATTTCCATAACATTTTCCACTCTGACACATGGCGTGACTGACTGACTTATTATGTTTCTGTCTCTCTACCCTCACTAGAACGTGAACCTCATGAGGGAGAGATTTCTGCCTGTCTTGTTCACTGCTGCGTCTTCTCAACTCAGGTCAATGCCTGGGTGGAGTGGTGCTCAATAAACGTTTGGCCACTGAGGAACGTGTTGGATAAGCCACATGTTCTTGTCTCTCATAGGATGTGTGCTAGTTTCCCAGGACAACCCTAAGGAAGTACCACAAGCTGGGTTAAAGCAATGGAAATACATCGCAGTGTTGCCAGCCTTGCTTCCTTGGAGACCCTAGGGAGACTTTTGTCTCCTCTTGCCTGGCTCCTGGGGTTTGCTGCAACGCTTGGCATTCTTTGGTTTTCAGCTGCGTCGCATCAGTCTGCCTTCATTGTTCCACAGAGTGCTCCTGTGTGTCTCTGTCTCTTTCCTTTAAAAAATAAGAATACCAGTCATATTGGGTGACTGTCCTACTCCAGTGGACCTCATCTTAACTTACATGATTACACCTACAGCAACCCTGTTTCTGAATAAAGTCACACTCTGGCATACTGGGCGTTAGAATTTCCACATATCTTTTTTTTGGGGGGGTGGACACAATTAAACTCATAACAGGATTTGTTCAGTTTTTCCCGGAATTATAGTACCCAAGTTATTATTACTCCAACTAGATTGAAAATTTTCTAAGAGAAAAAAATTCAGTTTTGCATCTGAGTGGCAAACTGGCAGCTCTTGGGCTGCCTTGCTCTGTAGGTTACTTGTCTGGCCTGAAGTACTAGCCCACACAGTGCTTTGAATGATTTTTCAATTAGTTTATAAACACTTAAAAGTTAAGGAACTTCACTCACTGATCTGGATCTCTGTCTTCCATGACGATGGGAAACGTCTGCTCATGCTGGCCTGTCTCACACCATGGCCCTCATCGCACAGAGGCCAGCAGGGACTTTTCAGACCTCTTCATGTCAGCGGCCACTTGTCTCTTGGCCAGACTCACTCACCCCCGTCAGCCTCCCGGCTCTTACAGACATGTGAGTGTGTAGCCCCTGAGCACCAAGCAAATATCAAGAGAGTGGCAGATGTTCCATGATGGTGGTGGTGGTGGTGACGGTAGGGAATTGGGAGGTGGATCGGAGCTCCACTCTTTCTTTGATTCTTGAACGTTTCCCAATCAAGGCCATTCTCGCTGCTCCCCCAAGACGTCAGTGGCCACTTCCCTGTCTGTATCTTCCTTGCTGGTGGAATGTGATGCATTGATCACCTCCTGTTCTTGAAACACTTTCTTCACCTGAATATGAGCCCCACACTCTCCCAATGCGCCCTCCTCTCTCTGGCCACTCCTCTTCCACCTCTTCTTTCTTATTCCGATAAAAATGATGTAGGCTGCGTGCCGAGGTTCACACCTGTAAACCCAGCACTTTTGGAGGCGAAGGAGAGAGGGTTGCTTGAACCCAGGGATTTGAGACCAGCCTGGGCAGCAAAGTGAGACTGTCTCAATAGCAATAATGATAATAGTAATAGTTTAAAAACTGGTGTACTTGTAGGGCTCATTCTTCTATACTCTACTCTCCACCCCTCCTTAGGACTTTTGTGACTTCCAACACCCTCCATGCACTGACAACTCCAGGTACTTACCTTCAGCTTGTGTTCCCCCGCAACTTCATTCATTCATTTCTGCTTAGGTATATTAAGGACTCTTAAACTTCACTTTTACAAAATGAAGCTCCTGGTTTCAACCCCCCAAGCTTTCTCTCTCCCTAAATTCTTCCCCTTCTCTTTCCCTTCCTCTCCCTCTCATTTTTCCTCTCCCTCCCTCTCTTTCTCTCACCCCTCTCCATTCCTCTGCCTCTCCCTCTCCCTCTCCCTCTCCTTCTCCTTCTGCGTCACAATCACTTCCTATTCGTTCTGTTTCTCTGGAGAACCTTGACTAACACACTCTTCTTTTAACTTATGTCTAATGCCTAATCCCTCTCCTTTACCTTGACTGATATCGCTCTGATTTAAGACATCCTCATCTTTCTGCTGGATGTTGTGATTGCTGCAGACCTGGCATTCTATCTACAGGTTACTTTTCCACGGGCAGTCAGACTGACGCCTTAGAAACACAGTCAAGCATGTTACTCCCCTATTTAGCGTGCTTTGCTGTCTCCCACCTCATTCAGTGTAAAGGCTGAAGTCCTTAGATGGCCTTCAAGGCCCTACACTATTTGCCCCTCCCACCTCCTCTCTATGCCTCCAGCCTCACTGGCCTCCAGTCACACATGCTTTTCCTTTGATGTGTCAAGCAAGTTCCTGCCCCAGGGCCTTTGCTCCTGCCTAGAAATCTCTTTGTTCGATAAATCCTTCCGAGTCACCCACCAGCAGAACAACACTAGTTTCTTGCATCTCAGAAGAAGCAGCAACTTGATCCAGAATGGACTATTCATTTCAGTCTTGCCCAAATGTGTGTCCCCACCAAGGACCTCAGGGTGTCTCCTATGATAGATGACCTGGGGCCCTTCCGGGGATTTGGTCTTGATCACTTATAGTGTCTGGCGGCTGCTGTGTCCATGTGAGGGTGGTGGGTAGCAAGTTAAGGAGATGCAACCAGCCTAGCACCTGGGTGCATGCATGTTGGAGCAGGGCTTGTTTTCATGCACAGCTCAGGGCCGAGCGGTTGTTTTCTAGAGAAACTTTGTCCTTTCATGTTGGACCCAAGAAAACATTCCAATCCATACTCAAAACACTGCGTGTGGTGAGGGGTGGGTGTGGGAGCAATATGGGAAGTGGATACAGAGGAAACATCCTTCCTAGTGGCCATGTGACTACAGAGCCCTGTCCCCTTCCCCCTGTGTTCCCTGCCCCACCCCCTCTCCGAGACTTGTATCAATGTCAGCTGGTTCCAGAGGTTTCAGTCTCAGATCACCCCGCCCTTCCTCACTATGGGTGCTGCTAACCATGGAAGGAGCCTGTGTACCAGAAAGGTGACACTTTTTTATTTTTAATTGACACGATAACTGCACATATTTATGGGGCATGGCGTGATGTTTCCATACATATATACATTGTGTAATAATCAAGTGTTTCTGGGCTGTGGAATCTACTAGAACTGGTCACCTCCTGCTCTTGAATCTGACAGTCAGAGATGGGGGTGAGGCCCCTCTTAAACTGTTCTTCACTTGCAAAGTAGAAACAAAAACGCTTACACTATGGAACTGCTGCAGGATTTAAATAAAGTCATTTACAGCAAGCGCCAGGCCCACAAACATTCAGTCACTGGGACTGGAGATGCGTCACCATGGAAACGAAAGTCCTACCAGAGGTGGGCTGGAGACCCCGCTCTGGGGCTGGGCTGGTGTGCGATGGACACTCCTGAACTCTCACATGGTCACCCAGCACTCCTCTCAGAATGTAAACCTGATCGGGCCACTGTGCTCCTTGCAGCGCAGGTGACACCGCCCCTAGGGTCAGCCTCCAGGCAGCCCACAGCCCCTGTAGGACCCACCTCCAAACCCCTCCTCATCTTGGACACTCACCATGGGTCTCAGCTCCGGGCATGGAGGAGATGTCCCAAGGGGGAGTGGTCCTGCAGCTCGGTTGTTGGTGTGGCCACGCCCCGGTCCAGCCCTGCCGGCGTCCAGTCTCTTTCCTCAGTGCCCTTTTGGAGGTCTCTGGGAGCGTTCCTGAAGGTCCCTACACTGTGCTGCTGACTGCATGCCCTGCCCGCTGCCTGCTCAGACAGAAGAGAGGCTACTCTGCATGTTTGTCATGCACACCTGTATCTTATCGTATTTTAAATGGATACATAATAATTGTACACATTTATGAGGTAGTGGGACATTGTGATACATGATACATTGTATAACAATCAAATCAAGGTAATTAACTTATCCATCACCTCAAACATTTATCATTTGTGTGTGGTGAGAATATCACAATTCTCTCTTCTAGTTATTTTGAAATATACGGTACATCATTAACTATTGTTAACTGTAGTCACCCCTTGTGTGACAGAACCCCAAAACTTATTCCTTCCATCTGGTTGTAATTTTGTACTTGTTGACCAGCCTTTCCCATCCCTTAACATAGTAGGTCCCCCATCCCTCACCTGTGATGTGCCGGGCAGCAGTAGGTGGCTCCCTGGTCTCCTTCCCTCTAGCCCCAGGGGTCGTGTGTTCACAGCAAAGAGCTGGCCCCTTGTTGCTGCTGGACAGATTGAGGTGCTCACAGCCCAGCCTCCTCAGAGCCCAGGGAGGCCGTGCAGAGAGGCTGGGTGGGGATGGCTTTCTGAGGGCGGCAGGGGGATCAGTGTGGGCCCAGGCAGCCAGGGAGGCCCAGGAGCTTCGGTCTTGACTTCCATGAGGCTCTCTGCCTCCTCCCCCTCCTTGGCTGCCCCCACAAGAACCAAACTGTGTCTGTCAGTCCCAGAATGCCAGGAATGTGCTGCAGCCTGCTAGGCATGAGGCATCTGCAGAGAAGCAGGGAGGAGCCCTGCTCCCAGCAGGCTCCTAGGCTGCCCCTCCCACATCCCTGGCCTCCTGCTGCAGCGGGATATCAAAGGCCGCATTGTGCAGGGAGCCGGCCTTGGTCCCTGTGTGCCAGGGAGGAGGCGGGAGGAGGGACACCGCTGGAAGCCTGTCCCTCCCAGTCTCTTCTGGCTGGTGTTCCCAGGGGCTCAGCCAGGGTAGGATGGTGCACACATGGGTGGCTGCTTCTGTATCCCCGGGGAGCAGAGCCTGACCTGGGGCCCAGGTGAGTTTCCCAGGGGGCCGAGTGGACCGTCCGGCGGGGCTCAGGGACCTGCTGGGTGGGAAAGGCTCCCCCAGAATGGGAGGCAGCATGCTCTCCGGGGCCTCTCCTGCCTCCCTGGTCAGTGTTTGCCATGCTGGCTTTGTACAAAGGAAGGGACGCCTGGGAAGCATTTCCTTTCCCTGAGGAAAGATGTTCTGGGCTAGCTCTGCCCTTGGCTGCTTCTCCTGGTGTGAGTAAGCCCTTCCTTCCTTCCTTTCTTCCCGAGATTCCCTGGGACAGGAAGCGAGTTCAGGCTATGAGTTCCTCTGGGCCTATGGGTGGTCATAAATTTGGCCTCAGTCAGTCAGGCCTATTTTTGTCAGGGTTGCTGTTACTGGAGAAAAACAGGCAGCTTCCTGCCTCTCCCTACGACTAGGTGACCAAGAAGTGGCTGGGTTATCTGAGATTTGACTTAGGTGACCAGAACTCCTTAGGTGACCAGCCCTCCTGGTCAACTGGGACTGAGGAATGGCCTGGGATTCAGGCAGGGCTGAAACCCAGACGGTTTCAGGAAGACCAGGAGGGCTAGTCTCCCTTACAAGTTGCCTGCGTCTTCTCAGTGCTGAACCATGTGGGGCCCTGTGTTCCCTTGTGTGGTGTTTCTCTCTTGTGTGGGTGAGGGTGGCTTCTGGAGAATGCGAGGATGGATTGGGGAGGGAGGTTCGTTTGGGAGATAAAAGGAGCATTACTCCAAGGCCTCATTCTTAACCCTTGTTGGGGTCCCATGTTTACTCACAGCTCCCAGGGTTCCTGAGTGGGGAGGCCGCAGCAACCCCAGCTGAGAACTTCCTACTCTCTGTCAGATGACTTTCCCCATGGTCCCGTGACCTGGGCTTGCAGAGGGCACTCGTCCTGAACAGGAACCCAGAGAGGCCGTATTCTGCTTCCTCTGCTTGAAGCCGTGGCCTAGGCTCCTTGGCTCCCTAGTAGGGAGTGCCTCTTAGGCCAAGGACCTAAAACTATTAATATGAGCAAACACACCCCAAGCAACGCCCTTGGCTCAGGAGGCACAACTTGACTCCTGAGACATTTTGCTTCTCCAGATATTTGGGATTTATAAACTGTTCGGTCTCATCCCCTCAGTCCTGTTGTCATTACACCCAAGGGGGCAGACACCGTGTGGACGGAAGACATGCAATGTCCCAGGGCTGGAAGGCAGGGACCTGGGTTCTGGGCCTGACTTAGTCTCCCACTGGTTGCGCAGGCGTCACACGACCAGTTGCCTAGTCTTTGAGGCCAAAGTGTCTGGGCCTGATTTTGGTTCTCTTACTTGCCTCGACTGCTTATTCAGCCTCTCTGAGTTTTAGTTTCTTCATTGGTAGCTTTCATGAGATGATTATGCTGCCCCAGGCGTGTGGTGGGGATTGTGTCCACCTATGAAACCCTTGAAGCCGCCTGGCCTGTGGTTAGTTGGCCCAATGCATGTTAGCTGTTGTTTTTTTACTTTTTCTTTTGAGTTAGAGTCTCATTCTGTGGCCCAGGCTGGAGTGCGGTGGCACACTCACGGCCACTGCAACCTCGACCTGCTGGGCTCAGGAGATCCTTCTAGCTCAGCCTCCCAAGTAGCTGGAACTATAGGCACGCACTACCATGCCCGGCTTATTTTTTGATTTATTGTAGAGACAAGGTCTCACCAAGTTGCCCAGGCTGTTCTCGAACCCCTGAGCACAGGCAATCCTCTTGCCTCAGTCTCCCAAAGTGCTGGGATTACAGACTTGAGCTACCGCACCCAGCCGTTAGTGATGCGTCTCTGACTCCAGCATGCCTCCTTCTCTCTCTGGGTCTCATTTGGCCATCTGTAGTATTTGGGGCTGTAAGCTGCTGTGGAGGTGCCCTGACCCCAGCCTGGGCATCTTTGCCTCTGTGGGACATCTGTCCTTCAGCCAGAGCCTTCCTATAGGACAGTTATATATCTCAAAACAAACCAAAAAATCAACATTGGGGAAGACGTTCTCACAATGTCAATGGCACTACTATTCTATTATTTTATTCCATCACCTATTTTTGCCATGGATGACTGCTTGGCACCCGGAGTCACTCTTTCCCCGAGCCAGCTTGTCACCTGTCTCCTTGGGGCATCGATGCTGTCCCCCTCATTCTTCCCCTGGGGCCTTTCTCTCGGGGTTGAAACGGGTGTTGGAGATTGGAGGCTGTTGAAGTGAACATTTCCATTCTAGATTCCCCTATTTATCCTAGAGGAAAGGAACAAAACATGAGCGGCTTCCTGGAACTACTAGTCGCTTGACCTTGTGCAAGTCCCTGTGTTCTCTGAACCTCAATTTTCCTGGCTGTCACCTGAATTTAAAGGTAGCATGGGTTCCACGGGATTTTTGTGAGGGTTAAATGGGATAGTTCCCCTCCTGGACTGAGTGCGAGATCTGGCTTCCCACCCACTGTGGGCAGCCTTACTGTCAGCTAACGTGGACCACGCCCACGTCACTGTGTCCTCTTCCTGTGTCCCCTGGAGAAGTCTGGGCTCGTGTTTCTTTGGCTGCTTCCGCCTTTGTGTCTGTTGAAGGGGGTGTTGACAGTGGAGACCAAACAGGGAGTCCTCAGGGGAAGGGAGGCAGGAAAGAAGGAGGCTTTGATAGCTCTGAGCTGACTGCTGCCCGCGGGTTTATTGTTCTCTCTCAAGGTTGAGGCTGGTGGTAGGTGGGCGGGAGTGTAGAGACTGAGAGGACATGAGAGTGAATTCCCATCTTCAGCAAGTCCCTGCACAGAGAACGTTTTCCCGATCAGGGAGTTCAGGCCTCAGAGTCCTGAGGCTGTGTGGGTGGTGCCATCAGGACGCTGGCATGACCCTGGGCAGCTGCGTTCTCATGTGTGGACCCTGGCTGTAGTGCCTGCCCACGATGTTTGTCGTGTGCTCACAGAACTCTCCCGACTGCACATGGGAGAGGGAGGGTTTTGGTCCCATGGTGCCATCTCTGACCTCCGACCCTGTGGGGTTCTTGCCACTGTTTAATGAGCTGCAGCTGCTCACCTCGAAGCACAGAGCATGTTGTGTCAAAGCTCACCGGTCTAGACGCTTCTAGTACTCTCCCTCATCTTCCGCGCCTTTCTGAAGGAGTCTGGCAGATTCACACACTTAGGAGGTGTGGGAGAGATGCATTTGCCTGTGTCCTTTTCCTTTCGATCTTTTTTGATAAAGGTGAACCATCAGGACAATAATGGGGGCAGGTGAGGACTGACAGCAGGACACGATGCCGTGCACGGAGTCCAAGAGACCAGCGAGGCGTTTCAAACACACCGATGGCAGGAAATGTTAGAATGAGAAGCCACCATCTGACTGCACATTTCTACGTTATGTCCTATGACCTTCAGAAAGTGTTTCTTTCTTTTTAAAGAAATGAAATGTCACAAATACATTTAGGGTTCCCTGCATAGCTCTTTCCAATATCATCCCCCACCCAGAGTTAATCACTTTCATGAATTCAGTGGTTTTGTGTTTTTACTACATATTCATGAACCCACAATCTTGACAAAGAAATGTTGCAGATTTTTAAACTTACAAAATGATATCATCATGATGTGTGTGTGTGTGTGTGTGTGTGTGTGTGTGTGTGTGTGTGCGCGTGTGCTTAACATTGTGATCTGAGATCTATCTATGTGGACAGATGTGTCTGTAGTTCTAACTTGATATTTATCCCAATAAGGAGAAGGTGGGTTTACTGCATAGAAACTGCTGATAGCGTGTTTGTTGGATTAAAAAAAAAAAAGATGTGGGTGGAGAGAAAACTCCCGCAGAAAAATGTTTGCTGCTGAGTTTTCTTCTCAAGGCTGAGGATGGCGGGTGGACAGAGTATGGCAAGGGGACATGAAAGTGAATTCCCATCTTCAGCAAGTCTCTGCATAGGAGACATTTTCCAGATCAGAGACCCCAGGTCTTGGAGTTTTGAGGTCTGATTGATGTAATGGAAACTGCGAGGTCTGCACTCACTGATTTGGATGGCCTCTGACCCGTTTGCACCATCAACCTCAGGTCCACGACCACCCACCTCTCCAGCATGGCCTCTACCATGTCCTGTGCACAGAGCCCATTCCCTCTCACCTGCTGATCTCTTCACGGGTAATCCTGTTCCCTCCACCCCCTATCAATTTGCCAAGACAATAAAAAGCAAGCCACAGACTGGGGAATCATGATTGCAAAACACAAATCTGATACTTGTATCCAGAACACATATTTTAAAAAAATCTTTTGCAGTTCAGTATTGAGAAGACAACCCAATAAGAACGGTGCAAAATGTTTGTAGAGACAGTTTCATATGGAAAATGTTTAGATAACAAATAAGCCCATAAAATACTTAATATCTTAAGTTATTAGGAAAATGCACACTAAAACAATGAGCTAAATGGCATACCAACCTAGAATGGCTAAACTTAAAAGACAGATATTATCAAGTGTTTGTGAGGAGGTGGGACTACTGAGACTCTCATACGTTGCTGGTGGATTACAAAATGGTATAGCCACCTCGGAAAACAGCTTAGCAGATTTAAAATAAATCTCATTGATTTTTTTAAGTTGCATGTTTCGCAACTTTTTTTGATCAATAATGTTACAAATAAGGCTAATTTATATCAAAAGCAATTTATTTTTTTAAAGACCAACTTCACTTCTTTTTCTTCTTTTTTTATTATAAAGATGTGAGGTGCAATTCAGGGTTAGGTATACAAACATTGATTATGCAAGTTACCCTTGTTGAAGTGTGCCCCTCCCTCCCCTAGCAGTTTCCCTCAACTGCCAATACCACCCCCTCCCCTGGCAGTTTCCCACTACTGCCAATCTCTTTCTTATAATATTAGAACTGTTCAAGATCTGCTTATGAGTGAGAACATATGGTACTCTGTTCTTTGTTTCTGTGATAGATGCCTGAGTATGATCGACTCCAAATGCATCCAAGTTGCTGCGAAGTCCATATGTTTGTCTTTCCTTATGGCTGCATAATATTCCATTGTGTATA